GACTGCTGTGCTGGCTGTGAGAATTTCAAGCCAGTGGATCTTAGCTTGCTCGTCTTCCTGGACGTGGGACCCACTGAGTGAGATCACTTCACTCCCTGGTTTCAGCGCCCTTTCTCAGGGGATTGAGCAGTTCTGTCTCACTGGCATTCCAGGCATCACTAGGGTACGTGGGGAAAAAAAACCTGCTGTGGCTAAAATGGCCAGCCAGTTTTGTGCTGGAAACCCAGGGCGCCAGACGGAATCTCCTGGTCTGTGGGTTGTGAAGACCATGGGAAAAGTGCAGTATCTGAGCTAGAGTGTCAGGAAAAGTCCCTAATGGCTTCCCTCGGCCAGGAGAGGGACTTCTCTGGCCCTTTGCCCATCCCGGGTGAGGCAACGCCCCACCCTGCTTTGGCTTGTCCTCCTTGGGCTGCACTCACTATCTAACAAGTCTCAATGAGATGAACCAGGTACCTCAGGTGGAAATATAGAAATCACCTGCCTTCTGTATTGTTCTCACTGGGAACTGCACGCCAGAGCTTTTCCTATTTGGCCATCTTGATGGAAATCTCTGATATTTCTTTATAGCAGTATGAGAATACCCTAATATAACTAGGAATAGAGGGGGACTTCCTCAGGTTGAAAAAGAGTATCTACCAAAAAAAAAAAAAAAAAAAAAAAAAAACCTAAAACAAACCTTATGCTATTGATGAGAAACTCAAAGTTTTTCACTAAGGTCAGAAACAAGGCAAGGATGTCCCTAGTCATCAATGCTTTTCAAATTGTACTAGAAGTCCTAGACAATGTAATAAGATCAGAAAAGAAAATAAAGTAGTTACAGATTGAGAAGAACCAAAACTGTCTTTGTTCATAGATGACATGACTGTCTGTTAGAAAATCCAAAAGGATCAACAACAGCAACAAAAATTCCTGACACTAATGAGTGATCGTAGAAAGATTTCAGGATACAAGATTAATATATAAAAGTCAATCAATCACTTTTCTGTATAACAAAAATAATGAAGGAGAATTTGAAATTTAAAACTGAATACAATTTATATTAGCACTCCTAAAAGTAAAATGCTTAGGTATAAATGTAGAAAAACACATATGAAATCTGTAGGAGGAAAACTATAACTCTGATGAAAGGAATCAAAGAACTAAATAAATGGAGAGATACTCCATGTTCATGATAGGAAGATTCAATATTACTGTTTTGGTTTTTCTCCGCTTGATCTATGTATTCAATGTGATCCCAATCAAAACTCCAGAAAGTTACTTTGTGGATATCAACAAAGGAATTTTAAAGTCTATGGGTAGGAAAAAGACTCAGAATAGCCAACATAGTTGTAGCACAGAAAAACAAAGGTAAAAGACAACACTGCCTGACTTAGTCTTCCTATGCAGTTGCAGTAATTACGGCAGTGTGGTACAGGTGACAGAATAAACAAATAAACAGTGGAACAAAACAAAGCCCAGAAATGGGCCTGCATAATATAGTCAACTGATCTTTGACAAAGGAGCAAAAGCAATACAGTGGAAAAAAATAGTCTTTTCAAGTAATGATACTGGAACAACTGGACAGCTACATGCAAAATAAAAAATGAATCTAGATACAGACTCCTTATACCCATTGCAAAAATTAACTCAAAATGGACCATAGGGCTGTGTGCGGTGGCTCACACCTGTAATCCCAGCACTTTGGGAGGCCAAGGCAGGCAGATCATCTGAAGTCAAGAGTTCAAGACCCACCTGACCAACATGAAGAAACCCTGTGTCTACTAAAAATACAAAATGAGCTGGGGGTGGTGCTTCAGTCAGTGTATGGATAAATAAACCATGGCATATCTAGACAATAGAATAGCCAGTGCTAAAAGAAATGAGCTATCAAGCCAAGAAAAGACATGGAAGAGACTTAGTGTGTATTAGGTGAAAGAAGCAAGTCTAAAAAGGCCACATACTGTATGATTCTAACCCTGTGACACTCTGGAAAAGGCAAACTATGCAGAAAGTAAAACGATCAGTGGTTACCTGGGATTATGGGGGTAAGAGGGATTAATGAGCCAGGCATAGAGGACGCCCAGGGCAGAAGTCCTCTGAAATTATTCTGTACAATATTATAATGGTGGATAGACGTCATCATACATTTGTCAAAACCACACCACCAAGAATGAACCCTAATGAAAGCTGTGGACTTTGAGTAATAATGATGCGTCAACATAGGTTCATGAACTGTGACAAATATACCACTCTGGCAGGGGATGTCGATAATGGCGGAGGCTATGTATGTGTACAGAGGTGGTAGAGCGTAGATGGAAATCTCTGTATCATCCTCTCGATTTTGTTGTGAGCCTAAAACTCCTTTAAAAGATAAAGTCTACTTTAAAAAAAGGAAGCATATTTCAGAGCTGCAGCTCTGCCCATAGATAAAATTTTCCACTATGGAACAGAAAACCAAATACCACATGTTCTCACCTATAAATGGGAGCTAAACTTTGAGCATATGTGGACACAAAGAAGGGACTAACAGACATCGGGGCCTACTTGAGGGAGGAGGGTGAGGATCAAAAAACTACTTATCAGGTATTATTCTTCTTACCTGGGTGACAAAATAATCTGTGCACCAAACCCCGACAAGATGCAGTTTATTCACCTGTACGACAAACCTATATATACATGTACTCCTGAACCTAGAATAAAAACGTTCCACTGTGATACCTAGAGAACAGTTACCTTTTCTCATTCTCAAACCATACCATAATAATGGTAAGACTGAAAGGCCCAAAACAGGATCTCCCACTCCTTCCATTCTCCCACCAAAGTCCCCACAGGCTCACAAAGGTGAACCCAAAACTCAGCTACCAGGAAAGAGAGATAACCTGCTTAAAGTTTGAAAGTGGGTGTTTCTCACCACTTCTAGCTTTCAAGTTATTCAAAATATATTTTACTGATTTAGCTAGAGCATCCCTTTCCCCCATTTGGGAGCAGTGATTAGAAGCCTTAAGGCTGAATGGAGCAACGTGAGACCTAAGCCACCAGAAACCTCTCTGTTCAGTAATTCTCTTTGAAGGAAGACATAGCCACCACGATGATTCTTCAGTCCCTGTCTATCTTTGGAAGAAACAGAGGGAACCTCCTTTAGTTCAGCAGCCTAGTAGTCAGGGATAAACTTTTGAGCACTGGCTTTGCATACCTCACTTCATGATGCTTGACTCTTCTTTTTTTTTTTTGGTTAGAGATGGGTTTCATCATGTTGGTCAGGCCGGTCTTGAACTCCTGACCTTGTGACCACCCGCCTCAGCCTCCCAAAGTGCTGGAATTACAGTCATGAGCCACCATGCCTGGCCGATGTTTAACTCTTCTAACCTAGAATGGTGGGGAACAATGGATAGGATGACACGCTGTTTAGCATAAATAAAACTGGAAGGATCAACAGTTCTCAACTGGCACAATAGAGAGGAAGTGAGGCATCTATGATTATCCCCATAATTAGAGACAAAGTTTATTCTAGAACCCCAAGACCCTGAAATTCTGCCTAGCATTTTACTCCCAGTTTTTCCTACCTACTGCACTCTGAGGTCCTTGTCAATCCTCAGATGATTGAGGATAATAGATAATTGAATTAATACATTATAACATTATCAGTGTCCAAAAGATGTAATGGAAGCATTTTTTTTTTTTTTTTTTTAGCATTGTGTATCTTTGCTACAATTAAAATTCCCTTCAATGGGAAGGCTAACACTTGTCATTCATTCATTCACTCAACAAACCTATCATTGTGCTCTTAGTTCCAAACACTAGTCCATACCCTAGGACAGAATGAGATGCACATAAACAAGGTCTACTAAGCTTAGAACTTAGAGGCTGAAGCACTCTAAAATCTGACCTTGAAGGAGAGACTGGGTGTTCCTTCTATGAAGAGACCCTTGAAGATAGAATGTGGAAGGTTTTCTTCAGGTCACTTGGAAGTGCTTGGTTTAAACTCTGTTACTAACTGGTAGAGAGAGTAACCCAGGGTCAGAAGAAATGGACAGTCAACTCTTTCTCCTGCTCCGTAATGAATGCTAGCCCTCCGAATGCATATTCTTTTTTTTTTTTTTTTTTTTGAGACAGAGTTTCACTCTTGTTATCCAGGCTGGAGTGCAATGGCGTGCCCACCGCAACCTCCGCCTCCTGGGTTCAGGCAATTCTCCTGCCTCAGCCTCCTGAGTAGCTGGGATTACAGGCACGCGCCACCACGCCCAGCTAATTTTTTGTATTTTTAGTAGAGACGGGGTTTCACCATGTTGACCAGGATGGTCTCGATCTCTTGACCTCATGATCCAGCCACCTTGGCCTCCCAAAGTGCTGGGATTACAGGCGTGAGCCACCGTGCCCAGCCCCCCCCCCCCCGAATGCATATTCTTGAATGATATTATTATTCTATGACTTATAAAGTCTATCCCTTCATTTAATAGTAGGGTTAACATGTTTCTTTAATAATACATAGCAGTGTTAAGTGACAGCTTGAATTCACCAAGCAGGAGTAATGCTGAAGTAAGGCTATAAATTATCAATCCTTAAGCCCTCGTCTTTTTAGTCACTTCCATTTTTCCGTAAAGGAAAATAAACTTCTTTCCTGATTGACTTCTATCCCTCTTTTTTTATAGTAAACATTAAGAGATTTGCGTATCAGGTGTCTAGTCATCTTGGTCCGGTCTTGCTTTGTCATTAAGTGTTAGAGATCGATTGCCTGTGAAGCTATTCTAATTCGTGATACAGTACTGTCACTAGCCTATAAATAATTAATGAAAGGGGACTTTTCTAGTGAAGAAAACTGTCAGGCCTATTAGATTTAAGTCCAATTTCAGTTCCCTCCCTGTAACTTTTTATTGAAATTTTTACAACGTAGAATCAACTTTCAGTAATGCAATTAAATGACACTAATTCAGACCGTAGAGGCTTGAGTTGGGGGGGGGAACTAGTTAAAATGCATGAAAAGCATGTTTTTTGAAGTGAAAATTTATTAAGAAATTCCACGAATGACTTCTGCTACCAATGGCTTTTCTAGTGGAACTGTTCCAGTAAGAGATGACTTTGGTGCCAAGAGAGACTCACTCACTTAAGTAAAGGGGGACATGCATGAGGACGGCAAATGCTCTCAGTGTCCCAGGCGTATTTCCTAAGCACTCCCTGATTCTTACATGCTGATGGCTTCTTCATGAAAGTCCACCTAAGCACTATCTCTGGCTGCAGGAGCATGTGAGGCCTATGCTGGCTAGATTGGAAGTGTTGGGAAGTGATGTGTTCCTGCAGAGGAGCCTCAAACAAGGGAAGGCAGAAGTTGGTGGATAAGTAACTGAGGTCCTCAATGCTTTCATGGGACAATGCCGAGGCATGTTCAAGAGACCACCAGTGGGACTGTACCCCAATGGCCCACAGCAGTAAGCTTCTTATCCACACACATTGCATTGGCTTTCTTTCCTTCCTTGTTTCAATTTCTCACTCTTCCACCAGTGTTCCCTGAGACCACCTCTCAAACAAACTACTTGCTCGCAAAACCTTGTTTCAGGTCTACTTCTGGAAGAACCCAACTATAAGACTGTCATGCAAGTAATGAAAGTCTACAAGAGACGATCTTATTTCCTGTTTATTTACTTTCCCTACACATTATTAAAAGAAAAGGTTTAGATCCAACAATTCGTGAATTGGGCAACGCTCAGACAAGTTGCCGTAAAGTTAGTAAGTGTTATCATCCTTTAGTAAAAAGTAGGTGAAAAACCTAAAAAAGAATACAAAGCTATCTAGTAAGCACAGATGGTCTTTTCCATGTACTTGCATATGGTCGAGAAAGATAAGTATTAAATTTTACAGTGAAAATGGAGACCAGAAGAGGTTTAGGTCACTCCACTCAGCAGTATGAGCAGTGAAACTTTATAGGACAAACATGGAAGAAAAATAGTGGAATCACCTGATAGGGCTACAGGTAGGCTTCTGCCTTCTTTGTGCGTGGTGTGATGAGTTGGCTGCCTTTGGGTGAAGATCGGATATTTGCGACTGGCTGAAACGTGGCTATTTGTTACCAAAAAAAAAAAAAATGTATTCCTAGTTATGTTCCGGCTTATGTACTAAGTTCGGTTGCAGTTTGTTGAGTAGAAATTCAAAGTACAGAGATAGCCTTAGGCCAGTGGCCACCTGCTATTTAGTTTAACAGTGTCTTAGCATGCCTTATACAATCCTGTTGACCTTTGAACAGCAGGGTTTAAACTGCATGAGTCCACTTGTGCATGGATTTTTTTCAGTGAACATATTGGAAAATATTTTGGAGATTTGTGATAATTCAAAAATACCCACAGATGAACCACACAGCCTAGAAATATCAAAAAAAAATTTAAGAAAAAGTTAAATATGTCATAAATGCATAATATATATGTAGATACTAGTTTATCATTTACTACCATAACTATTATAAAAAGTTAAGATGTAACAAGACTCATACAAACACTGACCATACATGACACCATTCACAGCAGAAAAAAAAAATACAAACAGAAATAAAGATGGATTATTAAATCATAACTGCATAAAATTAACTGCAGTACATACTGTACTACTATAAAAATTTTGTAGCCGCCTCCCATTGCTATTGCAGTGAGCTCAAGTGTTGTGAATGTCTGTTTAAAATGCCCTGATGTTAATTATCTCTGCGTGAACATTCGTTTGCCCAGTAAATCACATATTGCAGTAAAATGTGATCTCTTGAAGTTCTTGGGTATTTTCCATCATGTTTTGTGCAATACCATAAACCTTGAATAACACTATGGATCCCATACAAAATGCTACTATGGATGCTGGGAGTGCTTCCAAGAAGCAGAGAAAAGTCATGACTTGACAGGAAAGAGTTGAACTGCTTGATACGTACCATAGAGTGAGGTTTCCAGCTGCATTGCCCGCCGTCTCAGAGAGGTGATTTTTCTTGTAAACAGATAACATAAATTTACAGTATTGGTAAATACAGTATTGTAAATGTATTTTATCTTTCTCATTATTTTCTTCTCTTAAATTTTTTATGAGATGGAGTCTCGCTCTGTCACCTAGGCTGGATGGAGTGCAGTGGCTGGATCTCAGCTCACTTCCACCTCTACCTCCCGTGTTCAAGTGATTCTCTTGCTTCACCCTCCCAAGTAGCTGGGATTACAGGCATCTGCCACCACACCTGGCTAATTTTTGTATTTTTAGTAGAGACAGGGTTTCACCATGATGGCCAGCCTGGTCTCGAACTCCTGACCTCAGGTGATCCACCTGCCTCGTTCTCCCAAAGTGTTAGGATTACAGGCAAGAGTCATCATGCCTGGGCATAAGATTTTCTTAGTAACATTTTTTTCTCTGTCTTACTTCATTGTAAGAATAGAGTAATAACAAATGTAACGTTAAAAATGTGTATTAATTGACAATTTTTGTTACTAGTAAAGCTTCAGTCAACAGCAGGAGAAGTTTTTGGAGAGTTAAAAGCTGTATATGGACTTTCAGCTGCTTGGGGGTTGGCATCCCTAACCCTTGCATTGTTAAAGGGTCAACTGTATTCTGTTCATATTAGAAGTTAAATAACTTTTGTGGGATGAATTAGCGATATTTTGTAGGATAAAGTGGTTTGCTAAATTCTGGCTTCCGTTGAGGCTCAATTGTGGACCCTTAGCAATATACAGGAAGAAGGGAGATGCTGACAGTTACAGGTCAGTTAATTTATTGTACTGTTAAAGATTTGCAATCACTTCGAAATCCTCTTTCCCAAGGATAAATTTTGTCTCTAAGGTTGATAATGAATCAGCTTAGGCATTTCGGGTTTCCGTTGCTCCTAGTCTGATGTCTCAGATCTAGATGCTATGCACTTAATGGAGAATGACGTGTACACATTGGGAGGCAGCCTTAGAGAGGGATTAAAAACAAGGAGGGGCTCTGGCACCACACTGTCTACTTGAATCCTGGCACTGCCACTTACTGAGCGACCTTGGACAAGTTGTTTAACCCTCTATGCCTGCTATCCTCATTTGTAAAATAGAAATCGCAATACTCTCAGCCTTGTAGACTCACTATGAGGACTGTTTCTAGAACAGCACCTAGGGTCTGCTTAGCACATAGTAAGTCACAATAAAGTTAGCAAGTATTATCATCATTTAGTAAAAAGTAGGTGAAAAGCCTAAAAATAATATGTCACTCTCTAGTAAACATTGACTATCTTTGCCATGTGCTTGCATATTGTCAAGAAAGACAATTCTTAAACCTTGTAGTGAAAATGGAAAATACTTATGAGTAAGGTTTGCCATTACACAGATAGATGCGGGTGAGGGGGTGAAAGAAGAAAACCAACAGTTGTTGAGGGTCAGCCACATGCCAGGCACTTTATGGAAATTACCTCATTAACCCACACAGTTCATGGCGTTCAATCCAGATCTGCACAGCTCCAAATCTTGCTGTGCTACTGTCCCTCCCAAATAAAACAAAATTCCTGCCCTACTGTATCCAGTGAACTGTGTAAGAAGGCATGACTGTGAATTTGAGTCTGCCCGGTCATGGTGACCTTGAGTGACCTCTCTAGTCCTCTATCTCCTGTTTTCCACCTTAGCTCTCTTTCTTTTCCTGTGGGGGAGACTCTTCTAAGATTAGCTCCAGATACTCAAGACCCTCAGTGTCCTGGTCCTGTTTCTCCCTGTCTCTAGGCCCTGTTGGCCATGGTGCTTCAACTGCCAAACCCATTGTGAAGCAGCTAAGCTAGTGCCTGAGCTGGGAAGAACAGGGAGCCCAGGCCCTTGGGTGTGTCCTGAGCTGTGTATACTGCCTCTTGCCTGCGACTTGTTTTCACTCTATGGAACAGAGCAAAGACTGTATCTTGACTGTGGCTCCAAAGGAAACATGGTGCCTCAGTACTGCTTTGGGCATTGTTGGGGAATCTTTCCTGTGTTCCCAGATTTCAGTGGAGCAAGAGACGTTTCAAAATAGCAAATCAATTTGAGGTTTCTTATGTGTCCGTAGGCTTGCTTCTTACAGAGTTGTTTTGATGTTAGGTTCAGGGAGTGACTCCACCTTTGTCCTTAAGTGTCACTGACATGGCATGTAGTTAGGTAAGCAAACTATCACTGATAAGTGAGGTTGCATAGAGACCTTCCAATACCCTGCTTAATAACTTATATGCAAATATGCCCACTAGTAAAGAATAAATGTTATGTAAACAAGGAAGTATGCAAATTCTGGTCATGCTCACCGACAAAGGCTTTTCATGCAATAAACTGACTGCCATTTTGCAGGATTTAATAAATTGGACAAAATAAATCAGCAAGTCCTTTCTGCCTTTGCTCCCCTTACCTAGTCAAGACTGATAAAATATCATTTATTTAATGACATATGCATTGCCTGTTTCCATTGCATCTGGGAACTTACACATGCAATCTTTTTTCTTTAATTATCTGACTCCAAACATTCAATATTTTTTCAAGATCTGAAGTTATTATTTCACTGTTGAATAAGAATTGCTTTTTCCCCACCAGACACATAATCTCTAATCATTTTCTTCAGAATAAAGTTGACAATTCATTTTTCTCCTAAGCAATAAGACATGACTGCCTCTGTGCATAATGAAGGATTCCAAAAACATGAATTTATTGTGAAGCACATAGCAAAACTAATTGCATTTAACCACAAAAGTCTAATCAGCATAAAAATTCGAATATAGACACTTATTGAATGAAAGCACCAGAAAGGACTTTACAGATAATTTATGATCAGCTCAGCTTACAGTTGAGAACACTCAGTCCCAGAAAGATCTGGGTCTAAAATCCTGCTTCCCAGGGCGTTTTCTTAAGCTAACCTACCTTCTCATATACTTTACGCTTTGAAAAAAAAAAAATTGTTGAATGTACTTGACAAGAAATTTAATTCCCTGAAGAAAATGTATATTTTAATTTTTATTGCAAGACCAGGTCAAATGTGACCTACACCAGGCAAAATTTCCCACTCTCTGCCCAGGCAGGAAGAGCTTTTTCTCTCTGATTTCCCATATGACATTATTCACCTATCACATGACACTTGCCTCTTTCCACCTTACATTGCATTTATTTGGGTCCATATCTTACCACTTCTAGTACACAGTGAGCTCCTTAAGAGGAGAATTTCTTTCATATCTTTGTGATTCCCTAAGTGCTTAGTACACTGACTATGTGAGTGTGGATATAGAATCTCAGCCTCTTTCTCCGTTTCTTCTCCCATGCCCCTCTAAACTTTTTCCAAGAGTCTCTAAAATAACATTGACTCTTGTATTCTGAGGAAAGAATTATCTATTAACTTATTAAACTGGCAAGATAATGGTGCAGTGTAGATGATACGCAGGAGGAGTCTGCAACTTGGTAACGTAATAGTATTGTACTTCATTTCTTTATTTCTGGCTTTCAGTAAATCCAAGCATGGTGAAATAAAGCTGAAGTTCAAACTTGTGGAATATTTGAAATAATTAAGGAGTTTAAATTCATTTTTCTTCTTGAGCTTCAGTTTTAAGAGTGATTTAATTAAAATTTGCAGTTCGCTTTTTGTTATTGTTGCTTCTAGAATTAGGATTAAAACCGAGATTCCGTAGCAGCCACCTAGGAGAAAGTCAAAGGTTGGGCAGTATTATTTAAGGCACCAGAGGAGGAGGAATTCCTGGCCTGGCAGCACGGTCTGGAAGTGAATGATAAAGCTCCCACCCAGGCTCAGCCAACTGTGTTTCGATGGACGGGGGGTGGAAAGGAAGTTTACTTATCTGGGTCCTTCAACGACTGGAGTAAACTTCCCCTCGCGAAAAGCCACAATAGCTTTGTAGCCATCCTGGATCTGCCGGAAGGTGAGCATCAGTACAAGTTCTTTGTGGATGGTCAGTGGACCCACAACCCTTCCGAGCCCATAGTAACCAGCCAGCTTGGCACAGTTAACAATATCATTCAAGTGAAGAAAACTGACTTTGAAGTATTCCATGCTTTAATGGTGGATTCCCAAAAGTGCTCTTCTAGTGGTTTTAAATCTTCATTCATTTGGTCAGCAGGTATTTATTAAACACCGGCCGTGTGCCATTCTGTTACTGGACTAGGTTCTATGAATACACAGTGGTGAATAAGGAAGAAGTGGTTCCCTTCCTTCAGAAAGCTCATAATGATGGGAAAAACTCAGAATGATGGGGAGGGCAGGTAAGCCAGTGGGACATTATAGTAAGGTGTGATGGCTTTGGTGGGAGAAATAGGGCTTCTGTGGAAATGCACAGAAGAAGCATTTACACTCAGTCTTAAAGACAGCAGAGAAGAAGAGTGGTACCTCTGCTGAAGCCAGAGGGCTAAGTGAGAGTTGGCCAGGATAGAGAAATCACACATGCAGAGTCCCAAAGGCAAGAGAGATTGAGAGCTTGATGTATTTAGGAAGTGAAGGGAGCCCAGAATGCCTAGGGTTTGGAATGGCAGCTCAATTACAACAGGGGCCTCAGCAATGTGAATAAGTAAAGTTGGCCTTCATGACCTTTCAAGAAAGGGCACTGCAATGTGGCTCTGCTGCTTACTCCCAGGCAGAGGCCTATCCCTATATTATATTTACAAATTTTCCAACAGAAACTTGGAGTCCAGATTTTTATGAGAAATTGGCCAATTTTTAAATGTTAGCTATTAGAAAAATTTTAAAACACGGTGTGGTCGAATAACATGGTCTGGCAGCTGGATCCAACCTATGGCTATTAGTTTATAATCTCTGATCAAGAGCAATGATTCTCCAAGTGTGGTTCAGAGACCAGCATCAGTATCACCCATGAGCTTCTCAGAGAAATGCCCACCTCACACCTAATGAATCAAAAACTCTGTTTTTGGACCCAGTGTTCTGTGATTTAATGAGCCCTCCCGGTGATTTTGATGCAGCTAAAGTGTGAGACTCATAGGCTTAAAGCTGTACTGTTCAATATGGTAGCCATATGGGCCATTAAACACCTGAAATGCTGCTTGTCCACACTGAGACATGCATCACATGTGAAATACATACTAGTTTTCAAAGATTTTATATGAGCAGAATGTAAACTATCTCAGTAATATTTTTTGTATTGATTACATGCTGAAATTATATTTTTAATATATTGGGTTAAGTAAAATATACAATTGAATTTGATTTCATCTGTTTCTTTTGATTTTTTAAAATGTGACTACTAGAAAATTCAAAATTACACATGTTTTATTTCCACTGCCCAGTGCTAGTCTACAGTATATTTTGTGAAGCAGAGAACAAGCCTCACAAGACTTTGTAGGTCATGCCAAAGACCTACACTTTACTTTGAGGGCAAGAAAAAAAAAAAACCCTCAAAATGATCTAAGTAGGATGACAGTTCAGATCAGATCGGTGTTTTAGACAAACGCTGACTGGAGTCTATTTCATACAATGAAGAGGTGCCAGGTTGTAACAAGCTGAAACCAGATGGAATAATCCAGTGGGAAGATAATGGACTGGCATTGACATAACGCGTATTCAATGTAATACTTTTATTCAGTGCATATTACTTAGCTAGGTGAAGGGGGAAAGTTCACCCAAAAATGAATAAGATAACCTGTGTCCTCAAAGGAGCGTACAGTCTAGTACAGAAAAGAAACCCTTGGAAGCAACTTGGAGTTCTAACTGAAGTACTAGTTAGGAGCAAGGACTCTGGAGCTGGTCTGCCCGGAGTTTGTATTCCAACTCCATTATTTACTAGCTGGGGGACGCTGGGCAGGTGACTTAACTTTTCTAAGCCTCCATTTTCTTGTCTGTAAAAGAGAAATAATAATAGTGTCTACCTCATACAACTGTTGCAAAGACTCGTGTGTGTGTGTGTGTGTGTGTGTGTGTTGCCATTTTTATCACAATCTAATGGGAACTAGAGTGGGAAGAAGGAGCTAAGTTAAGGAATTAGCCACCCTCCGCTCTGCTGGTGTTGTGGTGATGTTTTAAAATGCTGCTATTCCCAAATCTGAATGCAGAAGAACAGTATGTCTACAGTTTCTTCAGGCTGGGGCTACTTTGATTTAACTTTTTTCATGTTGTCAATTTATTTTACCGCAACCTGCATTTTCCAGCACACATGCTTTCACTTCTCTCCAAGAGTCCACTGCAAGTTTCTCAGTCTTGTTCATATCATCATCATCATCATCATCATCAAATAAAGTCCTTCATTATCTCCCCTTTCCGATCTAGTTCCATGTGTCCTTTGTCAGCTTGATGAAGGAAGTGAGTAATGACTATTTCCAATATCATCTAACCACCACAGTGAGATAAGAATTAATCTTCCATGATTGCTGAATGGGCTTTGAGCAGATAAAAGAAGCTTCAGGCAGACATTTCTTGTGAATTGTTTGAAAGCTGCACATTCTAAGCTCCCTTTTTCAAAGGCAGATGGTGAATGACTTTCCGATGGCCTACCAAAATCGAAATTTCCAGAACAGTTTGTCCTGTCTTATGTCTCGCTCTCCCTCCAGTCTCAAACCTAATTTTACGTCTACAACAACACCTCAGAGTCCTCGCCCCTAGTCTCTCTGTCCCCATTGCACTTGGTTCTCACTTCCTTATAGCATTCATCCTTTTCCGCGCAATAAATAAACACATAATACAAATGGCCAGAATGTCCCATCAATATGGAATTGTCAATAAAATGAAATACATGCAGTGGTTAGGAAGAATGAGGCAGCTCTTTATGCACTGATATAAATGTTCAGTAAGGTAAATTAAGAAAGTAAGGTGTGGGCCGGGTGCGGTGGCTCACGCCTGTAATCCCAGCACTTTGGGAGGCCGAGGCGGGTGGATCACGAGGTCAAGAGATTGAGACAATCCTGGTCAACATGGTGAAACCCCGTCTCTAATAAAAATACAAAAAATTAGCTGGGCATGGTGGTACGTGCCTGTAGTCCCAGCAACTCAGAGGGCTGAGGCAGGAGAATTGCCAGAACCCAGGAGGTGGAGGTTGCGGTGAGCCGAGATCGTGCCATTGCACTCCAGCCTGGATAACAAGAACGAAACTCCGTCTCAAAAAAAAAAAAGAAAGAAAGGTGCAGGAAAGTGCACATATTATGCTACATAAAATGTGTGTTTAAAAAGGAAAAGAAAACCACAGTATTTTATTGACTCTAAGGTACCGTAAATAGTAAATGTTTTTATTTTATTTATTGCTAAGAAAGGAAAATTGTTGCCAATTAAATTTATGACATCATAGATTGAAAAACACTGATGTCTTTCAAAGATGTAAAAATCTGTGGGTTTAGTGTATTTATATTGGCTTCTGTGGAATATCTCCAGTTCTCACAACCTGTAAGATCTTTTGGGGACTGAGCTGCTCTGACCCAGTGGGCTTCTCATTCTGTGTGGGCTGTGCTGCCTATAAATATCCCTCCGTAAGCTGCCGAGGGGAAGCTGCAGAGTACTGTGTCACATACTGGTATCTTTGCCCGGGGTGCTGATGTACTAGTATCCTTATCTGATGTACATCCTTTATACTGCTTGCTTGCTTGGGAGTTAACAGAAGTGAAACAACTTTGGACTAAATCCAAGTTATAATTATCATACATTCTATAACCAAGGCCAGATGCTGTGATTTACGGTTGCTCAGCTTTATAAAGCAAGTAAAAGAGTTTGGTACTCATTGGGTGTTGAGACACCACTGCAGGGGTCTTAAGCTTAGGTAGTTACTGCATCAGATTTTCCTTTTAAATAAGAACGTTGAGACCAGGCGTGGTGGCTCGTGCCTGTAATCCTAGCACTTTGGGAGGTCAAGGTAGGGAGACTGCTTGAGCCTAGGAGTTCAAGATGAACCTGGACAATAATAGGACTGTTATTCTCTACAAAAATAAAAATAAAAATAAATTAGCCAGGAGTGGTGATGTGTGCCTGTAGTCCCAGCTACATGGGAGGCTGAGGTGGGAGGATCAGCTTGGCCCAGGGAAGTCAAGATTGCAGTGAGTGTGATTGCACCACTGCACTCCAGTCTGGGTGACAAAGTGAGACCTTGTCTCAAAAAAAAAAAAAAAAAAAAAAGTTGGCTTTGGCTTTAGAGAAGAGAGGAGTGTACTGAAATGGGCAGGGAGGGGTTCTTTGTGATTCTACACAAGAGATGCAGTTACTGAGTGGGATAACTTGGTCTTTTCCCCAGCTTTGTGCACAGGACATGGCATGGGGTACCCTCAATATGGTTTTAAAATGAAGATCATTAAAGGAGAGTAACAAGCTGAAAGTTGGGAATAGACTCTGAAAGCAATGGAAACTGATATTCAACCTTAGGGAAACCATCTCTATTTTGGTTGTTTATTAAGAACTTGGATTCCCAGTAATGTTTCCAGTAAATCTGTAGAAATTCTGGTAGGCTGGCCGGGAGCAGTGGCTCATGCCTATAATCCCAGTAATTTGAGGGGCTGAGGTGTGTTAATCACCTGAGGTCAGGAGTTCAAGACCAGCCTGGGCAACAAAGTGAATCTCGTCTCTACTAAAAATACAAAAATTAGCCCAGTGTGGTGGCACATGCCTGTAATTCCAGTTACTTGGGAAGCCAAGGCATGAGATTCACTTGAACCTGGAAGGTGGAAGTTGCAGTGAGCCAAGATCAGGCCACTGCATTCCAGCCTGGGCAATAGAGCAAAACTCTGTCTTAAAAAAAAGAAAAAAGAAAGAAATTCTGCAAGGTTGGCTGATTCAAATGCCCACTGATGAAAGTGTGTTCAGAATTTCAGAATTACACACCTGGAACACATCGTGCTCTGCAAAACAGTGCAATCCCTTTTTAATACTGTTATAGAACAAAGAAACTACACTGTGTCCATTAGAGTGGTCCTTTCCTGGAAGTAGTAGTTATTTATATATGGGGCTCTTGCTAGAATCTGTGTAATATTGAATGCTCTTAAATAGAGCCTACATCTCCAGATCAACCAGCTTAAAAATGTTATAATGAGCATAAATTATCTGGACATTATTACTATCAGGCTGTCCCTCTCCAGAGACACACTCATTTGCAGTCACATTTACTCAAATATTCTACATGCCAAACCTAAAAATTAGTGAAATAATGTTAT